AACGCCAGCGTCTGACAGATATTCCTTGAGTGTATCATGATACGCTCGCATGATCTCGAAAAATTTATTCTTTATCAATTCATTCGAACAGAATGTGCAGAAAAATATTGAAAGATCAACGACGGGTGTTGCGTATCTTAAATCCGCGAAGTCGATCAGCATCGCTCGTAGCTGTCCATCGTCTTCCATCTTAAAAAGATTATTGCTTAATGTAAAATCGCCGTGACACAGCGTGGATAAAGGTTCCACGGGCTCCAGGATTTTTATGAGCACTTTGTCGTATGCGTTCAAGAATAAATCTGCCATTTTATCGCAGAATCCCGTGTCGTAGTTCTGACTGCGAAGATAATACACTACTCTCATCGCGATATTATTGTAAAAGTCCTTGATTTCCTTTATCATATTATTGTAATATTTGGTTTCTTGCAATCGCTTTAAAATATCGAAGAATTCTTCCCGCTGCAGCTCCTTCATAACGTATCCTTTACCGTGGAATCGTCCTAACTCACGCATCGCCGCTAAGATATATTCCAAAGGAGCGTCATACACGTAGGGACAAGGACAGTATCCTTGATCACTGACATTTTCTAGAGCGATTACCGAGTTGGTGGGCGGCTGTTTGTCGACGTAGAAGCATCTTGGAAAGTTTTCGTCGGGTCTGGCGTACGCATGATAGAACAGAATCTCGTTATGAAACTGAGAATCAATGTTGACGACCTGTATATTGATTTCCTGTTTCAAAGGTCTCTTCGTATAAGAGAAAGTTTCTCATCCTTTCCCTTGTTTCTAAATATTACAGATGCATTATACAGGTTGGTCAAACACCTGTCAATTTTGGGGTACTCGTATCGTTTTTCTCCGACGACCGATCCGAGATTCTGCATATCTTTGACATCACTTTTTCGATCCATATCTGGGACATTTTATTTTATTCGACAAATGTGAAACAACTTGTCGTTTTTCAATCTGAATGCGAATTTCACGTGATCACTGTTACAAACTCGCTTATAGCGCGAACAATATTGGCTGTGATTTAAAATGACTTGTAGATAATGATGTTATCAAAGCATTCCTAAATTGGTTTCGTCTCATGTAATAGAATAATACAAGAAGTGGGATACATATACTAATGCATGGCTGTTTTGCGGCATGAGTTAACATAATGTCAAGGAAACATGGACAGAATTGATAGAGCTGTGTGAGTCGTGTGTATAAATTAATCTTTGAATAACGTGATAGTTTGCTGTTATATAAAGATTATAGAATCGACTTTAAGCTCTTTTTAACACAATTTTTTTTATCTGTCTTATATCAACAAGATTATACAGAATAAATTTCAATTAAAGTGAAAAAAGATTTATGACAAAAAAAGCTCTGTGCACACACACCACTGCGCAACAATTTGTATGTGTTATATTTAATTAATTAATATAATTTAGTCATTTTAATAACAATTTGTTCATTATGAAAATCATACGCAGGATGTTATCTGTGATCAGAATAATATTGCAAATTTTCAGTATTAAATTTTTTATATCTTTAATTAATTATACACATTTTAATTGTATATTAAAATCAATGTATGATTGGTATTATACTCTTACATATATATATGAATCATATCTCTTTTAATTTGCAGAGAAAACTTGCAATATTAATTATTCGTTAAAATATATATGTATATTTGTGTTTTTAATCATATTAATAATTTTTACTAAAGTATAAAAATTAATTATAGTTAGATTTTTGCATTATTGTATAGAGTTTATAGATTGTATAAAAAAGACTTATTAATGACTTTTTTCGTTGGTGCTATATTTTGTATAAAATTTACATTGAAAAATTGTAAAAATTGACTAAAACATATTTTTCTCTATCCTTATTGTACGGAATATTGTATGAAGGTTCTGCCTTATTGCTAAGATAAATAATAGAAGAGGGAAACAAGGATATCATTTTTACTCGAATGAAAAATAAATGTATACATAATTTCAACTCTCCAACATAAAATAGCATTAAGATGTAAAATTCTTGAATAATCATAAGTTAATGAAATAGAAGAAATGAACTCAAATATATATATAAGCAATAAAACAATAAGAGCATTAATGAATATATGATTATTGAATAGGAACAAATATAAAAAAACGAAATTAAATATATTTTTAAGTCACAAAATTATAATAAATTTATATATGAATGTATGATTATTGAATAGGAACAAATATAAAAAAACGAAATTAAATATATTTTTAAGTCACAAAAATATAATAAATTTATTTAACTTTTTTGCCCAACTTAAACGGCAAAAAATTATTCTGCATTTACATATTGTATATTTCTGATTATTTAAAAATATTTTCCAAAGCTTAAACATTATTATCTTATTGATATTGATTTATACATCGGATTAATATCGCACGATTATAAAAAGTGTTTTAAGCAACCAAAGTCTTTCATTTGCAACAACATATCGGCTAATATTTTGGATATTTTGTCTCCACCTTTCTTCTTGACAATTTTTGCAAACTCTATATCTGTTAGTGTTCGTATTTCATTTGTGCTATCTTCTAAAAAGGATAAAGACGGTAAGAAAAAGGATGCAATAATAAAACCGAACAGGCCACCCATCTTGTAATTGTCCAACAAAGCGTCGTACGAGTACTTCTCAATATTCTGTATGCCAGCATCCAGCAAATACTTCTTCAATGCGTCATGATAAGCCTGCATGATTTCGAAAAACTTATTTTTTCTAATTTCATTTGAACAACAGAGACAGAGAAACGTGGAAAGATCGATAACGGGAGTCGAGTATCTCAAATGCGCAAAGTCGATCAGCATCGCTCGTGGCTGTCCATCGTCTTCTATTTTAAATAGAATGTTGCTTAATGTAAAATCTCCGTGACACAACGTGGACAAGGGTTCTACTGGCTCCACCACTTTCATCATTACTACGTCGAACGCATTCAAAAATACAACTTCCATTTTATCGCAAAAGATCGCATCGTGGCCTTGATTACGAAGATATTCAATTGCTCGCGTTGCGATGAAGTTGACAATAAATTTGAATGCATCTATCGTACTGTCGTACCTAATTTCTTGAAGCTGCTTTACAATGTTGAAGAATTTTTCTCGTTGCTGCTCCTTCATGACGTATCCTTTGCCGTGGAATCGTCCCATTTCGCGGATCGCCGCTAAGATGTACTCCAAAGGACCATCGTATGTGTATGGACAAGGATGATATCCCCTTTTATTGACGTTCTCCAACGCGATCACCAGATCGGCCGATTGTTCGTCTACGTATAAGCATCTTGCAAAGTTTTCGTCGGGTCGAGCGTACATACTATAAAACAGGATTTCGTTATGGAACTGAGAATCGACGCGCATCATCTGTCTAGCCATCTTCTCCGGCAGGGATCTCTTCAGTATCATAGCAAGTTCCTCACTTTGTCCCTTTACTTTGCTTGTAAACTTTACGCATATGTAATGCAGATTGGATGTAATAAACTTCACGTTTTTGGATAACTCGTACCGTGCTTTGTCCACGTCTAATCCGAGATTTTTGATAATCTTCGACACGATCTTTTCAATCCATCGTTGAAAATTCTCGTCGGAAGACATTTTTCAATGAGATACTAAGTAAATCTTAGATTGTAGCTTTAATAATATTGTAGTTTTCATATAGCCTTTTAATATATAGATATTGATATCTCTTATCATGTGATGCAAGAAACGCGAGTATACATAGTAAAAAAGGTCGTATATTAAAAATAATTCATAGTTAAGATTAATTTTTTTCTTGAGTGTTTTTTCTGCTGTTTCATATATAATGTTAGTGGCATTCACGTATTTTGTTTTATAGATTACTTACAAATAATATTAGGTTACTCTCACATGTTGAATTGACAAGGTCCGATATATCTGAGAAATAAATTTGCACTTAATTGCACAACTAAAAGCCTGAAAGTACAATAAGGTAAGCGATCGAAGGGAGCAATTTTTGGTTGCAAATTGCGTGCACGAAAATTCTTGAGTGCTATTGTTTGGATAATGCACGTAAATAACGAACCCATTTACGTGATATGGTACTAAAGTATTATGGTGAAATATTCGCGCGATAGGGGAATCACGTAATCGAATCAAAGTCCATCTGCCAAATAGATATTACATAAAGCCGATACACAAAGGCACGCGTATACAAAAGTATGAAAGACGTAGATCTAGCATAAGATATTTTTATATAAGAGAAATATGAGCAACTTTCCGCTAGAGTCTAGTATATCAGAGAAATATATATCTATATATAACATATTAAATATTATTCACGCACGCGCGTATATATATACACACGCAAGCGTACGAGTCTCTCAGAAAATTTTATTTTTAAAATTAAAAATATAGTTTTTGTATTTTTAGAAGATTTTAGTCTCAAGATAGCCTATCTAAAGCAAATGAACAAGGAAAGATATACTCTGCAAACTGTAACGTGCCATTCACAACAAGTATTTATCTTCGATTACAGAAAAAAAAGATTTTGTAACTGCGCATCAGTGGAACGAATGAAATTTCCAGACTTGAAAGAAGTTGATGTTTTTCCGGTCAGGTAAAATGTGTCTCGAGGGTGTCGAGGATGCGGCTGTCGGATAGAAATGGCATTTGCGTTTTCCGCTTGGAAAGGAATATTCCATGTGCTATTCCTCCTGAAAAAAAAAAAATTTTTAAAGTAATTGCGATTGATGTTTTTAAATAATTTCTTTAGCGGATGTTTAAGGAGTTAAATATTTGAATACTGATATTTTTATTTCCACAAATGTCGACTCTATAAAATGTGCACGATATCGGTAAGAAATTGCAAAAAATATTTAATTTGCATTCTGTATGGATCTCTGCTTTTATAATTAATAACATTAATAATGGTAATGATATTTTATTTAGCTCTGAAAATATAAAGGCCAATTTTAAATCAAATTTCAATTAACTTAGTCGATGATTAATTCAATTGAGATAGAATTATTGACAACATTATTTTTAATCATATAATTCGTTGGAAATCTAATTTTTCTTTCCATCAAACATGACAGATAATAATTTTATCTGTAAACAAAATACTACAGATATTATTGCATAAATTTGATATGATTTGATAAATTTTCGATTAAGATAATAAGAGTTTTGTCGAAGCCTGAAATGCTTAACTATGTAAACGCACAGCAGAATCTCGAGGCAGAAATGCCTCGAGATAGATCATGCAATGACGATGTGCGGCTTTTGAATCTACGCGGCGAGGCGTATCGAAATTTTCTCTCGATAATGCATTTTTGGCCGGGAATTTATTGCACCGGGCGTTAAAAGCGCATTAAAGCCTCACGTCCCAAAAACGCTTCTCGTGCCCCCGTTTCTCGCTGCACGCGAGGTCCATTCCGAAACCAGCACGATCAAGCACGGTACATTCCCGCATGGCTGAGTGTTAGACATGGGTCGGATGACGAGAAAACGTCTCCTGCGATTTTTCCAGGTAAAGGGACTTTGCATAATCACCGGTGACGTTGCATTTAAGTGGCTTGCGCGGTAAGCGGCGAAGAGAGGCAACTCGAGCCACGGCTATCTAAATAGCTATTGCGCGATGGTTTTAACGAAAAAGAACTTTAGACCGGCGCTGGTAGAAACTTTCCGTTCTTTTTAAATTTTAATACCAGCACTAGCTGGTTTATCTACTGTCGTCGTGCGAATTTCGTACAATTTATAAATGCTGCCTCCGCAGAAAATTGCCAAACGAAAAATTTTACACTCCCTCTATTTCCGCTTCTGCTAAAGTGCATCGATATTTATTACGATATTAATAATCAGTTTAAACATTTCGGTTTACGGCGAATTAAAATACACGGTTATTTTTTTCGTTTCTAGCTGCGAGAAATTTGTTTTCGCACGTTTATTGCGCGACGTAGTGTATATCTATAATGTTAATCGTAGATATCAGTAAGTCGTGATATTCTTGTACATCAATTAAATTGTTTGAGTTTAATTCCACGGATACCAAGAATTTTCTCGTGCGATAAGTAGACCGGCCAAAATAACGTAAACAGAATTATCTTATCTGGGGCTGTAAGAAAATATATAATAAGTTTATGTAGATGGGAACGCTACACCATAAAACAAAGAATTCGTTATGTCACGCGTTTAATTTCCTTTGATAAAATGTCAACGCCTTTCGCTAAACGACGACGATTCATTGCGCGAGCTATTCAGAGAGTTGGAACCCGTCAACGGAATATATAATTACGGGGAGTTGGTTTATGAGAAAGATGAGTGAGATGAGAGAGAAAGAGAGGCGTGATATTATCGCGTTCTTTTTCCCAGGGCGCACAATTCCTTGTCGAAAATTCCGCAAAACATAACAATGACTGGCGTTAAGGAGAAGACTGCTGGCTACGCGGGACGAATCGAGTCAGATTAAATTTCCATTGCAAATTTCATTCAACCGACTGCCTCGTATCTCACTCTCACTCCATCTCTCTTTCTCTCTCTCTCTCTCTTTCTTGAGCGCTCGTCTTGCTCTCGACGACGTGACGACGATTCAACGCAACGTCGTCTCTCGACAAGATGAACGAGGCGGCCCGGTATTTACGCGAGGAACGATGAAACGTTCGCGGGATAAGCGTCGAGTCGTTGACATGTATATCCAAGCGTCGTTATCCGCTTTCTTTGTCGAAAAGATTATCGCCTCGCGTGAGACTGTCACGATCTATCCGCGAGATAGATAACTGTTCCGAATCTGCGATCGAACGTTTTAGCGTCTACGAGCCAACCATAAGTAGCTTTCCCGACGACTAGGCGGATATCTGACGCAATGTTATGCTTCTTGCTCCGATGACGTTCCTCTTATCGGTACAACTTGTGACGACGACGGACAATGATAACGAGAGCTTCTTGCATTTAATATAGCGCGTGTGCGACTTAAGCGCTCGTTAGACTAATGAGTTCTCAAAAAAAGGGGGTTTTCTTGTGTTATCTCGAGAAGAGACAGGCTATTAAATGAGAACTTAATGACACGGTTACAGGTGGCTTTTGTCTTTGTTGAACACGATCTGTCGCCTCGACATCATCATCGCCTTCGACAATAGCAAACATTATGATCGCTAAATCCAGTCGTATTGTGAAGATGGATATCCGAGTCGAAATTTTGCTCCTATTTACACAACTTCAATTTTCTTACTTTATAAAAGCGATAAACGAATAGTTTTTCGCTTAGGGATTTAAGAGAATAATCTTCGGCAAAACTATAGATTAAATAATTGTAAAGGAGAATCTAACTGTATGCTACTTGAAGTATCAAGATATTAAGATATTATATTGAGAATAGGAGCAGAATTTCGACTCGATTAATTGCAAGTAATAATCGAGCATTGAAAATGAAACGGTTAATGAAAATATAGAAATAGATAAATTTTTAACTCGATGTACCGCCCTATGCACTTGACATGCATTATATTATCTCGTCCACTTAGCATGCGATTATTATTATCTCTCCTCACGTTGTCACAACCGAATATTATATTAACTGCTTTCAAATGACGATAAATCGACGACGTAAATCGATTTTCTTGTGCCAAAGTATATTCTTCATTGTGTCTGATCGAGAACTTGGCCTCGCGAAAGATCCGGAGTGAGTTTCGCGCTCTGTTTCGCGCGAAATAAATTCGCGCGGGCAATCGACGAGACGCTCGCGCACACGCCTCGAAAGTGAAAATTAATCCGATCGGCCGTGCGGGAAATCAATTCCGTAATAAATCTCTCCCCCGGGCGGGATCGTAAATAATATCCGCGCCGTGCTCCGCGAGATAGCGCGTTGGCGCGCGACAAAGAAATATGACACCCCACGGTCAAGCTTATTTATCGACGAAACACCGTTGCCGACGGCTTCTGCCAGACCACCTCCAGCTAGGACATTTTACATCCCCGCTCTCTCTGCATCCCTCGGCAAAAATCCTTGTCCGCTCTGCGTGCGAGAGAGCTCGCGCTCGGCCACGTGGAGCGATCATAAACCTTCCGACTTGATTCTCTTGCGACTCATAGATCTTAAACGGTTTTCACACTAGGCACTCTATATGTATTCTCCATCGATTATCTTATTTTATGAAAAAAAAAGAAGGCGCGATATAAATGATGGAAATAAATTCCAAAGTCTTAAACAAAATCTGCAGAAACTAGATATATTAAACGGCGTATAAATTTAGTCTCTCGTTATATATACATATGTCGTTACGCGTTATTTGTTACATCACTCTATTTCTCCGCGTAATTCCCGCAACGTTTGATCTAAAGTAACGACCGGCGATTCCGGCGACATTTACTTTCCATTAAGTCGCGCGTCGTACAATATAAGATCGTTTGCTATGGCAATACTGACCGTAATAAATTGATGCTTGAGTTTATGTACCGCTATCTCATCCGGAGAATCTTCGCGTTTCCTCCTTCCTCCTTCAATTATTCCATTCCCGAGGCGAATCATTAGCGGAGGCTGCATGCGTGCGATTTCTTGCAATCGGTCGGCAACGCCAGGCCTTAGTCTCGCGTACTCGGCCAATAATGGGTAAACTTTGCTTACGTAATTCCGATCGGAGAGGCAGCCATTGGAATTGCATCGCAGAGTGCGACTGCTAATGCCGGGACCAATTTACTCACGAGACAGTGGGAAAATTTACGGTAGATCTAAGCTTTCACGCAAGCTTTCGTCGTCTGTACCGATATCGAACAAAGTTTCTTGCTCGCATTTCGCGCTTCGTTAATTTACTACTCTTGATTGGATTGATGTGATCTGCTATTTTTTTTTCAAGCGGAGAATTACAACAGTAGATACGTTCCCGTGCGTTTAAAAATGCAGGAATAGATCGTAAAAAATTTTTACGCGGATTCAACTGTCGGGCGAAATACCGCACGCTCGGAGAAAAGAACGGAAGGGATGTATATGTCCGCCAAGACTACCTATGAGGCGTTTAAGCAAAAGTTGCGAATTTGAATTTTAAAACAGGAGAGACTGCGCTCTGTCCGCACGACCTCGCCCCGGGTAAGAGTTTCGGTAAAAGTAGATTGAAAGATAACTCTCTACGCGGCTCTCTATTTCTCCTCTTCTCCCCCATTTTATCCGGCAATGCCTCCCTTTATCCTTGCCCCGACCTTCCCATCGTCGCGGATATTTTACGATGTGGCTTCGACGCGCCGGCCGTAAAATCTCGAAATTTAGGAGGGGATCTAACCGCAAGGACGCGACCCACTGCACCCACGACCCCGTGTGTATACTCGCCAGTTTACGTACTTATATATAGCGTCTCTTTCACAAAATGCGGAATAATTTGTGGATTCGAAGGAGTGCGATCACCCGGTAGAATCGGGTCGAAGCCCCGACTCAGCTGCGTAATTCGAAATCCGCCGGGGAATCGCTGATGCGCGCATTCCGCGGCTCATCAGCCATAACCCGATGCTATCCGGAGGATCCGCGAGCTTTAATGGACCGTCGAGTGAGATAAACGCGTAACAAGTATCGCGATTAAACCCCTCTCCCCTTTCCTCCTTTCCCAACCTTCCACATTGCTCTCCGCGTTACCGGCGCGAAAGGAAGCGTCGCGCGGATTCACGCTCGTTCTCCATGGCCTGCTCCCGTATCCCCGGGTCGGCGCGATAAATTCTCATTTCTGCCGACGACGCGACCGACTCTCCGCGGACGGAAACCGTAGACTGGGAGCAAAGAAATGGGAACGACAATGCGGTTCTCCAAACACACGCCACGTCCAACTATTATACTTATCGCTGGCGACTTTTCCGATCCATTTCCGCTCTCTTTTCCACTCTTTTATTTTAAAATCAGCGTTTATCGCGGAATAATCAAAGACTGTTATTTGATCTATCTGTTTTGCGCGTCATATCATTAATTCTTTGCGTGAAAAGATAATTTACTTCTACGATGAACAATTAGAAGAAGAATGCATTTAACATGTTGGATTCGAATTGTGATTGGAAAATAGGATTTAAAACATGCGGGGAAATTAGATTGTTACCTCATTGAAATGATACAAGCTATCGTATCTCTTTAAATTGAGTTCACATTCCTTTTGAATCGAGTTAAAGGCCAGATTGCTGGCCTTCACAAGCGTATGAAGGGACAAAAGGAAAGGAAATTGAGGAAATGGGGCAGATTGCGAGAACTTGGAAAGGTGGTCAATGACGTTGACTCATAATTAAATTAGCTCGAGCCCATTATACGAACACGGGTCGGCTCTTGTAACTCGTTCGTTCCAAACTTGGCCGATTCAAATGGCTCTTCGTAAGAGCTCGAATTTCTTGTCGTCCAAATAAAACAGAGCCGTCGAAATTGTTCGCGGTCTTTCGCCAAATTTAATAAAGAAACTTGCTGCTGCGAGACCTTACGTTGCGCGAACAAACTTTTATTTTGTTGTACACCATGTGTGTCGCGAGAGAACATATTTGCCTTATATGTACGTAAAACGTAACGTTCGTATATAACGCGATAAAATGAAAATTTGTAATGTTCGAATAAAGCGCGGAAATGGAAGATTGTGAAAACCGCATATATTATAATATCGAAGCGGAAATACACGCGAAAATTTCGTGGTCTCGCCAACTATTGTATTAAAGATAGCATCTCGCAGTTTGCGAAAGAGCGGTACAACAAAATCTCTTGAATGTCGGCGTTTTATCATTGTTATGACAGTCACAAGCGAGCATTGGTATAAAGGAAACGTTACGCGATTAAATCCCCGGATAACTTTCCGCCTGGGATTTGACATTCCCGCAGTCGTTCACCGGCTGCAACGTGTATAATTGATTATCGCCCGTGGAAAGTTTCCGTGGAAAGTTTTCCGTTCATTTTGTCTCGTCGTTCCATGTCCGGGGACCCGGCAATGTGAATATTATCCGACGACGGGACGCTGATTGCGAAGCGACCGGGGAGAGGGAAAACGAATTAACGCCGTCGGAGAATTCGCGATATAAGTCGCGGCTAAAGTTCTCCGAGCCGTCCTTGGGGATAAACCACCCCTCGGAAGCGGTGTCGCTGCTAAGAGAAAACGAGGAGCCGGATTATCCGCGTCGGCTGCGCCGCTTTCGAGATTCAATATTTGCTACGTCAGCCGTGAGCGCGCGCGCGCGCGCGCGCGCCTTCCTCGCGTAATCACGGCCTAATCAAGACCGGCGAGATTCGATTATATACTCGTCGAGTTCCCGGCAATGGAGCGTAACTAGCATATGATAGCACCGAGACCCGGCGAGGAAACGAGCCGGCCCGTTCGACGACCTGTCGACGACGGCCAATTATACTCGGCGCTCTCGTCGAACGTGTATTTTCCAGCCGAGACGAATAAACTGCGTCCGTATACAAAAGCGTGATATATAATTCGTTAGCTGCTTTCCAAATGACTCGATTTCTATCTCGAGACAGCGAGCTGTCAGCGGGGCTGTCTGTCGCGAATTGGGAGCGACGATGGGAAGCGGTGAACGGGTTCATCCTTGCGCGCGCATGGACGAGCAAGGTAATTGCGAATTACGTTTTTAATCTATCTCTCTCTCAAATCCTCTCTCTCTCTCTCTCATCTGTGTAGAATATAGGATGATGCGCACGCGTTGTGCACGTGAATCATCGCGATTAATTCGGACACTTTCTACGAACGGTGCGGTTGAAGCGATTCTCCCATCAATTGCGCGTATCACGCGCAATAAATTAAACGATATCGACTTTGCGAGAAAATTATTTCCCCATCGTCGATTCCAGAAGTCGTCGGACCGATAAACAATTCTCGCAACTCCCCGAGGTGTGCCCGCGACAATGATACTTTCTTCTTGCTTTGAGAAGTTTATCGCCAAAGCTTATTCGCAGTTTGAAACATTTAACTCGATTTATCCGAGATAATTATAAACATTTGCGCCTTTTGTGTCGCTTTTTTACATCTTCCTTCTTTTTTTTTTTTGGATTAATACATTTGACAGCATCCGGTTAAATTAACGGTATATCGGAAAAGGTAAAAATAAAAGTTTAACATATACGAGTGTCAGTTTTCGCGTTGAAATTATTTAGCAGTGGCATAAAATTTTCCGCGTATTCTCTTGCTTATGAAAAAGAGCAAATTGTAAAATAATAAAACAATATATACCAAGTAGTAAAAAAATAATTGTACTTTATATTGAACGGCTTTCCAAAAAACACACTTTGCCAGTGTTTTTTTTTTCTGAAAAGGAAACAAATTATTTATATCGTTATTCTGCTCGACAATTCATTTATTTTCCTAGTATTGTGATGCATTCGGACAAGTTTAATTGGATAAGGCAAATCAATCCTGTTTGTGAGAAGAAGTGCACTATTGCGATTCGTGCGCCATTGTCCTTTGTCCGTTGCGCGAAATGCTGCTATAAGTCGCATGGCATTACAATGAAAACGTCTTCCCGGTACGAAGGACGACAAAGAGATTTTCTTAGTTTGTGTGTATGTAAGACAGAGAGAGAGAAAGAGGGAAAAAGATGATATTGTTAATGTGAGAGTTACCATTAAATGTCAAGGTGCAAGAAATTGGGACGGTTAATGAATGACTCCCGCTACCTCTGTAAACGGCAAGAAGCGCGCTCGTTACATCTTCTGCTAATTACGATTTCAGCTTTTGTAAGCGTGCTTTCTTTCCGCGATCCATCGTAAAATAATTAACGGGCATCCAAGCCCGTAAATGGATTTTATGTCGGCCAAATTTTATTTTTATCACAACGAGCGTTTAATTAAAATCTCGCGGACTCCGCGGATTTTTTCGTTAACTAGATGTGTATTCGCGCAAATTTCCGCACTCTTATTATTTTTAAGAGAAAAATGGGAAACTATTACGCGTTGCAAACCTCACTTTCGTATACATTAACAGTTTAGCATAATACGATTAATATTCATGCGTGCAACGAAAATATTATAATTATAATTGTTATTATTATTATTATATAATTATCATGATAATTATATTCTGGATTGTGGGATTTAAAATTATATATTGCGTGTTGCACAAATGAATAAATATTATACGTATCTGTTTCTACTTCAATTTTTTAACTTTTTTTTTTTTCTACGATATATCTGCCCTTTAGTCACGCTCGCCGGTAAGAGGTGTTTCATTTTAGATAATAAAATACATAACGCAAAGCGCGATAATTCGCGACGAAACATCGTCCACACGTCATTTTTCCGATTCCCATTTGTTTGTTGCGAAAAAGTAACAGTTTCAAAATATTTAACTGTCGCTTTATTCGTCGAAGAACCTCGGTATTGTATTCCGCGAAAATTCGTTTGCGCTTCTGGCTCCTCGATATTCAATGTGCGAGAACACGATGGACGAGAATACAAAATACCCCTTCACCTACCCTTCCTAAATGTTTAGCATCGAAATTGCCGCATTTATACAGCGTTTCTTTGGATTTCTCGTGTTTCAGAAGTGCACTGTCACACTATGCCGCAAGGCGGTAACGGCAAGAGCGGCGACACGTACAGCCAGAACGCTCTGGAGGAGACCGCACGATCGACGGGGCCGTACTTCGACAAATCAGCCTCGAAGAACGTGACCGCACTCTTAGGAAAGACGACGTATCTCAATTGCCGTGTCAAAAATTTGGGGAACAAAACGGTGAGTGACACAAGAACTATCGTATCCGTAAATAGAAGCGTCTTCGCGATATTATATCTCTCTGCGTTGCTAATACGTTTCTTTTATTTATACTTACGACAAGATCGTCGTGATACGATACTCGGAGATTATTCCTGAAATAATAAAAGACAAAGAATGAGATATCATATTATAAAAAATATATAATATAAGGCGTTAACTAAATGACTCTTGTAATAAGAAACGTTAGGGAAATAGCGATGAGAAAAATATTGAAATCGGAAAAGCGCAATCGAGAGAATATAAATATTTTTTTGTATTTTATAATTTTTAAAAATTCCAACGTTATCGCAATAATTCTCCTGAAATTTTTGCGCTGAAAAAAAAACATCGAGAAAATAGACGCGGCTCGCTATTAGAAGGAACGAAATTGGCTTGCGCTTTTTGTCGTCCAACAATTCGAAAGCAGGAAAACAAAGCCGGGTCACGACACGTTACCGAGTCGTAGGATTAATTTACGGCAATTTACGGGCGTATACTTAAATCCAACGACGCGGCATAGCGGATAAAGTCTCCCGTGCGATAAAGTCTCGCTAATGGCGAGCTACTAAAGTAACGGACGCCCTGAGGGAGGATTACGGGGCGAGAAACGCGGTGAGACGATGCCTATGTAAACACGAAAACGGATACTACGTTTTCTCGGTCCGGCTAAATGAATGACTAGTGGAATATACGGAATGTCAATATTTTATCGACACACGATGAAGCGTCACGCCCTTTCCCCGGGTAAACTACAGGCGGTATCGCGCCGGAAGTGCACTCGGACACCGGGTCCTCTCGACGACAATGCCATTAAAGAAAGTGCAGGTGCTTTCGGTCAGCTCTAAACTTCAAGCTTTGCGCGGTATTATTAGTGCCTGATAAATTCGGATCGATTTCATGTCTCGGTCGATTTTTTCCAACAGGGAGAGCGAAAACTAGCACTAAGCATAAAAGCAAAACCATGTGATACATATCGTGTATTCGAGGGATGTAAACGTCGTTTGAACCATCCCGTCGAATTCCATACAATTTTTCTGTATTTAAAAGGCCTTTTCATTTAAAAAATGCTAATAAGAAATATTTTACATCCCGTTCGGTGCGGCACGTATCTTGAACGAATATTATATGTATATATGTTGGGGGAAACGGCACGACACGGACGAATTCATCGCCAAGGATTAGATATAACTCACGGGTAAAAGCGAGGGAAAAATTGGACCGGTCATAACTCACGTTAGTCGTATTTTACGTATCTTTTTTTCTCGCATCTCTCCCGGGAGCGATTAGATCGCTTGGATTATTCACGATGACTTCCCACCGATTCATAGTTACCGAGACGTATCAAAGAGTTAGTATATTGTTAAATCGTATAATCTACTCGCCCGTCTAGATGCGTCATTCGTCATTCTGTCTCTTACAGATATCAGAAATCAATTACCCCTTAATTGATTGTCGTAAGCGCATTATCAATTTATAATTGCGTTTCAATAAATTCCTAGAAACTTTAGAAACATATATTTGAAAGAAAAATGAGATCAATGTTTAATGTTATACTTTATCGAAAAATTTGAAGCAGACGGAATCTTTTATAACAATTTCACTCGTATGTTTTTCTTGTATTTAGGATCCATTAGGTTTTTATAAAGCTCTGAATGCGCGATCAATCGCATTTTCCATATCTCGTAAAAAATGAAAGAGACTTAAGAAACGCTAAGGCATAATACTTTGTAACAATTGAATTGGTAATGCACGTCAGTTTATACAGCGATGCAGCTGCTTAGTCGTTGCGGGGGATGGAGGAACGTATAATTCGGTATTGGAATCGACCGACTTTCCCGAACACGACGTCCGGATTTATCGTTCTTGTGCGAAACTCGCGGAGAATCATAGCAACGCGGGCCAGATTTATTAGACGTACGTCCGCCACGACGAAGTAGAGATGCATCGCGAACGCGATGCGGGGAAGGGGCCGTGTTTTACTTAATCTATGAATTGCAAGCAAAACGCGGACTTCGACGTTCAAAAAGAGGCCCGGATTCATTCATATGTATGACGCGTAACCTAGTTTGAATTCAATTCTACTCGAGAGGCATTTGTGTGGCGTTTGCCTCGAAACTTGTGGAAGCTCTCTTCCGGTGAACATCGGGCACTCGCGAGTGCCCTCAAAAATTTCCGGTCAGCATCGAGAGTTGGCGTAATTAATCTTAAAATGCACACGAAGAATATTTATTTATATACTCGGAGAGTAATATTCATCTCTTTTTCGATAATATATTTATATATATTTTAATTTTTTTTCGTATATAACTGTCATCGACAAAGTAGCATATTTTGACAGTTCAATGAGAATTTATAGTAATGTGAATGATTCGTTTAATGCGCGCGCGAATTTAATATATTGTTTTTAAAAAACAAAGAAAATTATCGTACACTTTCTTCGAGCTTACAACAAAGCCTGTCATTGCGTATTTTGACAATTCAAATGTTCGAAGATTTAGTAGCGAATAATACTAGATTTTATTTGTTAGGAACATATTTAAAATAGAATCTCGTATCAAGCGTGTATTTCAATATCGGTGATATCGATATTACACGCGTATTTATTTTATCGATCAAAACTTAGCCCTCTATCAAAGTGTGTCGTATGTCACGACGATTGAGTATTTGATTTCTAAATCGTGTTTACTGTCATCGCGCGCTCGTCGGAAACTCATCGATGGTTTACGATTGGAGTGTATAGGAAATTTCAAGTCCAATCGAAACCGCATAGGAAGCTGTACTTGCTTAGACCTTAATTAAATTCAACGCTTAAATGTCTTGTTGGTGGGAGCACAATCGAAGCGATCGCGCAAGCGGATTGATAGAGAAACTCGTCGGCGCTCTTCTGTTCTCAGAACTTGAATTAAAATAAATAACTCGGCCGTTCGATAAAGACGCACTCCGAGGAAACTGTAATATGACTTGCGCGTAAAGAAGAGAATAAAGATAGAGACGTTCGGCTTCATCATGGTGGATTCTTGTGGCATTCCTTCGAACGGAGTGACACAAATGCCCGAAGAGAATTTCTTTTCTCTTCATTACAATGAACATCGATTCGATATAGACGGAATGATTATCGCGCGCGGTTGATTTACATTAATTCAAGATCAAAGCTTTCGACGAGTCGAAACAAAGTGCTCTCCGGCCGATGTAAAAGAGATCTTTTCTTTTAAAATTCAAAGAGAAACGAGCGCAGGACATTGTTAAGTATAAGGAGGCGAATTTTTTTGTAACACCGCGAGAGCTTTATAAAAGAGAGCGGATAAAAGACGATAATCGAGATTTCATCGATTGCGATACGTGGGCACAGAGTTCCGTTCGATGACCGTCAGCCTTCCGGAGAAATACGACTTAACTCTTTGCGCTCCAATTACTGAAACCAGGGACAAAGTTCGATTCCTTTCGCTCATCGTGCATATCGATGAAAGGAGATATCTCTCTTCTTAATTGCCGACGAAGACATCCAAGGCCCCGGCGGATAGATGATACTCGAGGAAACGGCTCCGTTACTGCTAACGTTTAATCAACAAAGAACTTTGCCAATCGATCTGATTTCTTCCATTATACGATTCCGTCTTTTGCTTCTCTTTTTTTCTCTACGCAAAACTGTTTCGCATTATACATCTACACATGTATATGTGTGTATATATATATTTATTTTATTTCTTTCTTTATTTCAATTGCATTGATTGCGATATCTGGCGTTCGTGCAGTTACTCGAGTTGCTCGATTTTTTTCGACGAGAGTCCATCCATTATCCCGTTCACGATACACGTCGAATTGTGGCCCGGCTTCGATGCATCGCGCCAACCTATGTCACCGTCTACACGTTGCGTAGTACACGGGTCAACTAACCACACGGGGTCCTCCCATGCTACTCCCCATAGCATTCTCAGTCGGCGCACGCGGCCTCGATATCAACGTGATGCGAATACGCGTGCGAATGAGGTCGATCGAATGAGACGATAACGAAAAAAGAGTTTCGAGATTCTATTGCACCCACCCTTTCCTAGCATCTTTGACCGACGCCGGTCCCGCCCGCAACCAACAATCGGCCTCGTCCCTTTTCCGCGGACGTACATCGATCGCAGGGAGCGTCCTCGGGCTGAAAAGACGACAACCTCTCTCCCTCTCTCTCTTTCTCTCGACAATGCTTTTCTATTCTTGACCTTATCGTCTTCGCGACGAATTGCCGGCGCTATATCGATTTCAATGGAGTCTTATCAACAGAGTATATTCTCGCCGCTTCGTGATGTTTGTTATCTCGATATAATTATTATTTTGTTCGAATAATATTCTTTTTTTAGCGCGCGTTTAATTACAAAAATTTAGAAAAATTTTTGATTTTTGACTGAGGAAGAGAATTAATATTATATAATTCCATACCTTACTCTTGAACGTTGATTTCTCTCTCGACGTTCGCGATAATTAATCTGTATTAGTCGAGGAATCGAGGAAGAGGCCTCGTGCGTTATAGTGTTTTATGTGTCCGCCAGCGTTAGAGGAAAACCACGTGTAAATCACAATTTTCGAGTTACCGCACTGCAAATACCACGGTAAATCAAACCTGTCCGCATAACAAAACTAAAGTATGATGTATCGGGACTTTGAAATTACGCCGGGTCTGATTTATATTATTGTCATAACTTGGCACTTTGTCCGCGTATTAGTGCTGCATTTCATTTATTTACGCCGTCCGTCGAACGCGCTGCTATGGAATCGATCGAATGATATTCGGTCGCACATTAGTATCTACCATAATATATCTATTTACACGAGCGATGATAATGAGCAGTGACGATAATAGAATATTCCTTTTGACCGAACGCAAAATTTATTTCGATTGATGACGAGTGGCAAACATCGCTTTCCCTACTCCCCTCTTCCCCCACCCCTCGGTAAATTGGCTGTATCAATTACGAGCTAGTCGGATCCCATGAATTCGCGAACGTTGAAATTAAATCGCGCGCGCGACAAATCGATTTATTATCGCGTAGCTTCTATAAATTGAGTAATAGCCGCAAACACGGGGCGCGTGAAGGAGAAGCATGCTTCTTGTTACTTTGTTAAGACGACAGATGCACTTTATCTC